GTAATTACCCATTATACATTGTGATATAGCCTGCTTTCTCACTACAACCGAACCGCTCCAGAGTTCGTTTTCAATTGGGCCGAGACCACCTCGTTCAGGCGATCTCGGACCGATTATTTTGGCGTGGATCCGAGCGCGATTGCCGTGTTCACATATGCCCAAACGAACCGAGCTAAGGGGGGAAACGCGCCAGGTTCCGAAACAACAGCCAGGTGTGAAAGCACCCTAAATGATGACAGAATTTTCATTTTTGGCTGAACTATCCCTTTAACAGGTCAACTTCAGCCCCACTGCATAGTAGTCCAGCTGATAACCATGCTAAAGAAAACACACAGCTTAAACCAGCCTAAAGAGGCGTCACACTAGACTTTTCGTTCCATTAACTTTTTTTTTTTTTGCATTTTGCTGTTTTCCAAAGTTTAAGTTTAGTGAACTGTGTGTGACCTATGAATTTGTATCACATGAAGTTGTGTGACCAATAAAAGATTTATATGCCATGGTGTGACCTCTTACCTGAATTAAAAGAGCACAAACCTTAAAGCTAAAAACTTTGCAGTGTTGCAGAAAAGTGGAGTACATTGCATATTTTTACATTCTTCGATTATTTGTTATGTGTTAATATTGAATTTATAATAAAAGATGCCACAGAGTGTCATGTCATATCACATCCTTTGAGGGGTCCCAAAAAATTTGTGTGCTCAAATTCTAGCGTGACCACCATCTGGACCAGCTAATGAATGCAAATGACTTGCTTAATCATTAAAAATGTCAGCAATGTAATACTCCTGTAAAACCATCAGAAGCTAGTTTTAGCTGGATTTTCCAGCAGTAAGTGGTTGTACAACTAGACAATGTTATATGCTTACATTACTTTATGTAATGCAATTTTGACTGTCTAATATGCTTGTACAAACTGATTGTTTGTCTCTCTTATTCTCCACAGCCTGCATCGTTCGCTACAACGCTCTCTCTTTAGTCTACCTTCTTTACTTGCTGCTATTACCATGGTTTCAATGGCCCAACAAACACACACTACGAGGTAAGACAGTTCCTCACGCTTTGATTCCTAATTTCACAATACTCTGCCTGACCAGAAAAATAGCTGATTGCAAAACAAAAACGATGGCTAAATGAACAATTGTTTGTGAAACAGCCTCAGAGGTTGCTGTTTCATAGTTCAAGAATTCTGAGTGGAAAGAATAGCTCAGATAAATTTGTCTTGAAATAATTTGAGAAATGTTTGAGTTCATTTTAAGATCTTTGAACAGACTTTGGTATCTTGGTCAATCTGAGGATGTTTTGAGACATTGTCAAGATCTCTTCTGAAACATTAGAAAACGACATGTGTGGGTCTGTTTCCCTTCAAACATCTTAAAAGCCAGAGACTTAAAGATAGTTTACATGTTCTCTTTAGTTTGCTTTGATTCAGTCGATGTTGCTTAATCATAAAAGCCCAGAGTGACCATAATAAAAATGTACTGCTGTATGGAGCAGCACTTGTTGTGCTTTGGACAAATGAAATCGAAAACAAAGATACAAAATAAAATAAAAGTAACTTGAAAATTACAGCCATAATTATTATTTTTATGATAAGAATAAGAATAAAAATAAGAAGAATAATTAATAAATTGAATATTATTTTGTTATATTTTGCATAAGATAAATATAGGAAGATACAATATATTTCTTATTACGTTTTGTTTTTTAAATATAAAATATATTTAATATTTATTTATATTTGTAAAAATTTATATATATATATATATATATATATATTCGTACTTTCTGTAATGATACAATAAACAATATTATCATTCTAAAACTATCCCTCCCTGTCTAGTAGGGTCTGGGACTCGAGACTAGCAGCCATTTTGCCAAACCACAGCTTGACTGACCTTGATAATAGAGGAATCCATTATAAACCACGACCCATTCATTCCTGTAGTACAACAGAGAGAGAGCTTGGAGTATCACAAGACCACAGAGATCCACAAAGCCTAAATGATGATACAATAAACAAAAGGTTCTTTGGCTTTCAAAAGTGGTTTTGCATCATTTTTGGTGTTTTTTTCTTTTTTTCATTCAAGCACCTTACTATGTATGGTGTATGGTTCAGGGATTGGATCCAGCTTTGTGGCTTTGGCAGGCACATCAGTGACAGGAAGGCAGCCCATTTATCTTAGGGCTTTAGTCCAGAGCTCTCAAGCTCATAGCAGGTGATCATCATAGCCACATCCTGTTTAAGAGGTAGGACTGCTGGAAACAAAGGTGTTGGCAGTATGTATTTGATAACTGGGCTTAATAAGGTGCTGAAAAGTGGATGATGGTTTGATGCTCTGTATAAAAGAACCACTAGCTGTGAGCACATCCACACTCATAACAGAAGTATGTGGCCATGAGGAGTGGCATAATACCAGTACTCAAGACTAATTGTGCCTCTTCACCACTGTCATGAATCCAGTTTTGTGCCTTTTCTAGCACCAGGTACACCAGGGTTCTTATCATTAAAAGTAAAACCATAAAAAACTAAAATCATTTTCCATTACCTGGAATAAAATATACTTGAAATGAAAATGTATTTACTCACTCTCTGAGTCTTTGTTTATTTATTTATTTTACAGAATTTTTTACAGAATGTGACATTTTCTAAACATTGACAGATAATTCAAAATGCTTTCCTTTATTCAGAGAGAGATGAAATGAGGCATCTGGTCTGTAGAATAAAGTAATAGGGATTAGAAATGAAGAAAGGGAGGAAATGGTTTTAAAGTGTCTGTGTGAAAATAGACCCAGAGAGAAACCGGAGTGAAAATTTGGGGAAAGAAATTATAGATTCTAAGTGGAACGATTTATGAGATATTATTTATTAAATCAGGTGACCAAATGGCAGGACCGCAGTGAGTGTCTGTAGGCTTTACTTATTTATTTTTTTTACATGAGGTCAGAATTAAAAGAAAAGGCCAGAACCCACAACTCTTGGTAAAAAGTAAATGCACTTTTGCCACAGAAGCTCTGGGGTGTATTCCAGAAAGCACGGTTAACTTACCGTCAGTTAAACCCTGAACTTTCGGTTGATTAACCCCAAACCTTGCTTACTTGAGGTATGTGGTTCCAAAAACGCGTTCATTCAACTCAGAGTATGTTCCTGGTTAAGACTCAAGACATTCTCAACAGAGTGACGAATGGACGAGTCGCTATGGAAACGGACGCTAAGAAAAAGCGCGCCATGCTGTTTCTTTCTTCTTTTTTTGTTCAATGGTCATTTACATGCTTAGTGCATATCGCCACCTAATTGATGGTTGTGCAATCATTGAGAATATGAATTATATTGTTTGTTTGATGCTAATTATATATTAAGTCATATCAGATATGTATTTTGATTTAGAATTTAGACATTATAGAAAATGCTGATCCATGTGTGAGATGATAATATAAAATGTAATAAATATATATAATATATTAAATTAAACATTACCTTGTCATAGTGTTTTATAATTTATAAAACACTATGACTATGACTATTAATAAAATAAATATAATAACCATATTAGAATAATATATTACCTTATTTATTACTTATATTAGTGCTTCATCATTAACATATACTACATAATATACATATTACATAATGTAATATTATATAATGTTGTGCGCTATCTGTCACGCCCACTGAAGGCTCGTCAGTAGATCACACGTGCGCTGAAGTGAACTAACCCTGGAACATAACCTGCTCCAGAGCAGGTTATCTTCAGAGAACAAGTTACTATGGTTACTTACATACCCTGAAAGTAACCTCCGATTTTGGAACCGAAAGCTGAGCTTATCCGCTCGCTTATCCTCAAACATACCCGGGTATGTCACACAACCTGCTCTTTGGAATACCCCCCTGGTGTCACATTACACATAATCACATTAAACATGGGCATTTACTCGTTTAGCAGATGATTTTTTTCTCTGATTTTTATATAATTATTTGCTCTTTCAGGGCTCCAGATAAAAAAAAAATCACTTAAGGGGCAATTGGCTCCTATAAGAAACAAAATTAGGCGGCAAATTATTTTTTTAAGTGCCACAGAATCTTTTTTTTTTTAACACTTAACATTTAAGTCAAACTGTCATGTGTTTATGTCTCCCCTCCTTTTACAGCATCAGCATTTTAATCCATCTTGTAGATGTCCTGGGAACTAAGCTCCACTTAACCCTTGTGCGGTCTTCGGTCGTTTCTGAAAATACAGAAAATACAGAAAATTTTTGTGTACAATCTACAAATCCCCCACAATGCAGAAAAAATTGCACAGCAATGAAGGGGTGAAACTCTAAAACATCTAGAGTGCAAAATCAACACACCAACTCACACACGCCTGGACACACACACTTGTACACACACACACCACACACGCAGTTATGAACTGGTGTGACTGTAACACTGCAACTATGTAAAATAAAATCAATAATTACAAATGCATTGAAACTACAATGCAGTAAAAAAGTGGACAGCAAGGAAGGGGTTACACTCTAAAACATCAAGAGTGTAAAACGGATACATCCACTTACACACACTCCCAGACACACACATACAGAATTATACATACTCAAATGAATTGGTATGGCTATAACCATATAGCCAAAATGAGTCAGAAGACTGAAATAAGAGGTTAAAATCAGATCAGACCCAGAAGGATTAAGCTCTGATAAAGCATTCCTGTTCATTTTTGTCAATTTTTTATAGAATTTTAGTGTTTTGTGTAACAAACTGCTTTCTGTGTTCAGGTTTGAATGTAGTAATAATAATGCAAAAACCTACACTTCAAATCAACATTTAAAACATAAAAAAATATAAACTTTGACAAAAAGTAGTCTTTGAGAATGCCTTAATATACATTTAAATCCACAACCTAATAAAAGTAAACAATTATGTATAAAAACAGCTAGGGAATTCACAAGCCTCAGCATCACTTGGCCATTGAGTGTAGTTTGGGCTCCTCCTCAATGTGTCCTATAAATGTTGTCATATGTCTTGCACACATCCAGTCTGTTTTTCTTCATTAGTAACATGCAATTATATAGGAGGTATTAAATATTATTTTTACCTCCTTGCATTCTTTCTTATCATGTAGACAACAGGTTAAGTAAAAATATGAATATGCAATATAATGCATATATTTAGCAAAATGCTCCTCTTTGTAGTTATTTTGTAGAACACGAAATGCATGTTCAAGTTCAAGTTGTGCACGAAGTTTTTCTGCACTTTTACTTTGCACGTCTCTTTCAATCTCGCTCATGCTGCCCCAACTGGAGCTGCTTTTAGCAGGCGTTTGGCAGAGATGAGGACTGTTTTTCCACTAAAACTTTGATGCGAATCATCTCAGTTTATTACGTCAACATAACAAATCATGTGATCGCAAAACAATCAGGAAAAAAGGCATTAAATGCAAACTTAAGTCATAACAGGGTCATTCCTGGGATTCGGTAATATTTCAGTCCCCCCGACTTTTAAAATTGATGGTTTAAAATTAAGTGTTAAAAGCTTTTTACAATACTTTAGTATGCCAATTATAATGAATAAATAGAATTATTGCATTTAAATAATTTTTAGCATAAAATAATGTCTTATTTCTATCTTACACCAAGCATTTTGTCATGTCCCTGAGGTACTTCACTGAGTTTGTACTTAGAAAATTAACAAAATTTGCACAGTGTCTATAATTTTTGGCAATAATGTAGACATTTTTTTTTTGTGTTTCTTTCTTGTGAAATATGTTTTCCAAAAAAATGCATGATATTTTATAAAAAACAGACTTTAAAGTTATGTCCCTCAGTCTGAACTCAACCCCGTCACACTAACCATTGATTCAACACCCATAATAATTTAGACTCCACCCATATTTTACATCATTTACCAGAAATGACATAATTCAGGTCTATATAACATTGGTGCCGAAAATGGTAAGTAGTCTCATACTTTTTATTCATATTTTTGAGGCGTATTATAGGCCGGGAGGGTACAGTCAAGCTTAACAACTCAACCCCATCACATAAAATGAAGATGGAAACTTATTTTTAACATTTAATTTTAACTCTTTTAGAATGCACTTATTTTATTGTTGCCATATATGGTCTGCTCTCCTAAACTATATGAGGAGCAGTGGCCATTTCAAGCAAAAAACACAACCCTGTCACGCTCAACCCCGTCACTAATATGTATATTTCTCATTGTTTCGGGGTTGTAAACTTGTGACAGGGTTGAGTTATTTACTTCATTTATTAATAATTTTAATTTAAAAATATAAAATAGTCATTGTTTCAGTAAATATATACTTACCAAAATCATGACAATTCATATAGAATCATTGCATTTAAATAATTTTTAGCATAAAATAATGTCTTATTTCTATCTTACACCAAGCATTTTGTCATGTCCCTGAGGTACTTCACTGAGTTTGTACTTAGAAAATTATTAACAAAATTTGCACAGTGTCTATAATTTTTGGCAATAATGTAGACATTTTTTTTTGAAATTAAGTGTTAAAAGCTTTTTACAATACTTTAGTATGCCAATTATAATGAATAAATAGAATTATTGCATTTAAATAATTTTTAGCATAAAATAATGTCTTATTTCTATCTTACACCAAGCATTTTGTCATGTCCCTGAGGTACTTCACTGAGTTTGTACTTAGAAAATTAACAAAATTTGCACAGTGTCTATAATTTTTGGCAATAATGTAGACATTTTTTTTTTGTGTTTCTTTCTTGTGAAATATGTTTTCCAAAAAAATGCATGATATTTTATAAAAAACAGACTTTAAAGTTATGTCCCTCAGTCTGAACTCAACCCCGTCACACTAACCATTGATTCAACACCCATAATAATTTAGACTCCACCCATATTTTACATCATTTACCAGAAATGACATAATTCAGGTCTATATAACATTGGTGCCGAAAATGGTAAGTAGTCTCATACTTTTTATTCAT